ATCTGGATGGTCCCAATCTGACCACTGGGTACACAGGCTCTTGGATCTCTAAGGAGGTACTAATTTAGCCTCTGCCTGAGACTACCCAGCAGGAGCTACGGAGAGATCTGCAGGTTCCTCTTCCTTGTTTGGGTTTTGGAGGTGCTCAGATGAGGCCCAGCTGTGAGGCAATGCAAGCTGCTGTGGGGCCTTGGGCCTTCTTTTGGATGTTCTGGGTCTTTCTGACCCAGCTGCAGTTTGTTAGGTAATTTTCGATCTCAAAGGGCCAGCCCATTCATATGCAAAAGCCTCTGCACACAGCTTGGGTGGGGCGGGGTCTCAGGGAATCAACAGGAGGAGCAAATAGCTATGGCTGATCCTCAGTCCTACCCTAAGAGGCCCCGTGTCTCAGTGTCCCAGTAATCGCTGCAAGCACCTCTGAGAGAAAGCTGCCCTCGAGTTCCGCCCGCCAGACAGTCCAGTTTCTCCCTGTATGAGTCTGGGTCCCCAGAGACTCGCCCGGAACTGGAGTCAGGGCCGTCGGGAGCTTGTGCCTCCCTCCCAATTGCGAAACACACCGGCGTCCTCCGTTGCCAACCCCTTTCTGCACACGTGTACCTCTGCACATTTGAACTGAGTCTTTTTTTTATTTTTTATTTTATTGGGGTGACTGAGTCTTAAGGAGTAAATTAGCATTTCAGGTAGTGGGCCCAAAACAAAGGCAGAAAAATGAGAGAACCCAACATTTTAGTCAGCTTTTGGGCATGGTCAGACCTTTGAATGCCTAGGAGTGTGGATGTTGATTTGTGTTTTATACAAACTACTCTCACCTTCGCTGATTTGGCTCAGAAGATAGAGTGTTGGCCTCCGAACTAAAGGGTCCAGGGTTCTATTCTGGTCCAGGGCACATGCCTGGGTTGTGGGCTCGATCCCCAGTTGGGGGCTTGCAGGAGACAGCCAATCAATGATTCTCTCTCATCATTGATGTTTCTCTCTCTCTCTCCCCCTCTCCCTTCCTCTCTGAAATCAATAAAAATATATTTAAAAAAATATATAAAATAAAGGTAATTGGTATTCAAACTACTCTGACAGTGGAATGGAGACCAGAATGTAGGGAATAGACAGAAAGCAGAGAGCAGATATAGGGAGCGAAATTTATGAAGTCCTGAAGGTGGTAAAGAATAGAGAAAAATGGATGAGTTCAACTGATAGGACAGGCACAGTGGTCCATTTCTGGCTTTGGTTTTTCTAGTGACATTTTTTCTTTAAGTTTCTCTCACTTGGAAATCCATGCTCCCCACCTCACATCTTCCTTCCCGCCCCTGAGCCCGTGGATTCTTGCATAAACAGCTGCTCTGAGCTTTATTCTATTTCAATTTTTTGACTAAGCAATACATTTCTATAACTGAAAAAGTTAAAATCAGTTGAAAGGGCGTAAATGAGGACTCCCAACCACTCAGTCCCACCCTCTTTCCCCCTTGCCCCTTAGAGCTACCGCTTTTATTACTTTCTTACGGATCCTTTCAGTGACTCCTTGTTCAAATGCCAAGTACATACACATATAATTATTACTTTTATTTCCTTCAGACACAGCCAGGGTCCTGCTTTGTACCTTTCTAAATCGGCCCAGAGAGCTTCCTCATTCTTCTTTATAGCTGCACAACTGCCCATTGGTTTAGCTTAATTAGTCTGCTCTGAGTTTATTCCCTGGACCTTGCTATTGGCTTTGCTGAGCAGCCTCCAGGTTTACCTGATAAACCAGTGTATTTTCTTTTTTTTTTCTATAGAGAATACTTTTTATTGTACAGGTATCATATACACAATTTAATGTGTGAACATTTACAGGCATAGAGTTCAATTCCAAATCTCCATGGCACCCCATACACTGCACCGCGCACTCCTGTTTGGGATTAGCCCAGCAGGAATGAGACACAAAGTTATTGTTTGTGAACAGAGAGCTTCAATGAAATAGAACAGAGCCCAGGATCCTAATTCGTAACACCCTGTGTACATATTAATAAAACCTAAATATGTGTTTTAGATGACCCCATCACCTTTAAAAGTTATTAAAATGGAACCCCATTTCTCAAAAAGTCACTAAGAAGTGCACCCGTATTTACAGACCGGATTAAATTATGCATAAATAAAATCTGTACACGAGACACATTGTTTCTCAAAATAACAGCGCCTCCTCTGGGACCTGGGGGGTGACAGGCAGCAAAAAACGCTTCATGCCTACCCTTTTCAAGTTTACTCGAATCACCAAGATGTGAAATAAATATGCAAATAAAGCTTCAGTACCTTAAAGGAACATGTCATTTCAAAGAATCTCCCATTTGTAGAGTTAATTTTCAGTTAAAAAACAAACAACATAAAATCAGCAGGCTTTGTTTCTACGTGTTTTATAAAACCCAAAAGCCCCTTTTGAACAAGGGGATTTTTAAGTGTGTTCAATACCACCTATTAATTAGTTGCTAAGCGGAGTCTGCCTCCTCCTGAACGCAGGATTTGATATCTGAAGATGCTAGATAAACACTTTTTTCTAAAGATAAATATTTAGTGGGCAGGGAGCCAGCAATGACTTTCACACTGAGTTATTATTGATTTGAATCACATAGATTTGACATTTCAACAGCTAAGCATGTGGAGGTTTTGTTAGCCCAGAAGATGGATTTAAAAGGTTTGAAAACTTGTAGCACCACTTTCAGAGACAGAAGAATGGGGTTCAAAATAAAACATAAGCTTAATGAATAGAGAACCAGTACTTGTCACCTTCTGATCACTTGTCCAGAGTTAAGGAGACGCTTCAGCGCCAGAGAAATACTAAGGACTCCCAGAGGGCAGGTCCAACTCCGGGGGTGGGGCGGGGGCGGGGGGGGGGGCAACAGGCCTTTCAATGGGAAGGCAAGTACAAGCTCAGCTTGTCCCCCCAGGCCGAGGAGCTTCCCCATCTGTGCCGGTGAGAGTGGTTGGAGATTCCCTTCGTTTCACCTGTTTCATTTCCGATGCTTCTCCATCTTCTCCGAGGTCTTGCTGGAATCGGCTGGACTCTGGTCCCCGGGATTCATGTTGGATTTCTCTATGATGACCAAAGCCTCTTTTATGTAGTTCTGCATCGCAGACACGGCGGCACAGATGGCCTGGCTGCCAAACCCGTGGGTCACCAGGCTGAAGTGAGACAGGCAGTTCTGAATGTCCGCCCCTAGGACCCGGGCCGGCCGTTTGTTCTCGATGGGTGTTCGGTCTTGGTGGAGAAGGTCCGTGAATTCTTGACACACTTGCTGTGCGGCCAGCAGCATGTTCTTCCTCGTTGCCATCTCATTCCGTCCTCCAAGATGAGGTCTGGTTAAGTACTCGGCCACCGATTTACTAGGAAACTCGGCTTCACAGACATACCCAAAGTCCCGAGCCAAGCGAACGGCCTCCCCTTCTACTAAGGAAGTCAGGAGGGTGACGCGTGTAGCCTTCCGTCTGCCGGCTGGAAGGTTCAGCCCCATCTTGTCCAGCTCCTCCCGCAAGGACTGGCATGCATCTTTAGACCTGGCTCTTCTGAGAATACCTCCCAGTAATGAGGCATTTAAGCACTCAGGCGGGGACAATCGCCTCTGGACTTCAGCAACTGTCACTATGTATTTCGGCGTGGAGCTCAGGAGGGACAATCTTCCGTGGACGGAGAAGACCTCACTGGGGTTCATCACAGCCCCCACCAGCTCCTTCTGACAGGAGAGACTCAAGGGATCGTTGGTCATTGAAATGGGATCGTTGCGAATCACAGTCTGATCATGCAGAAGCAGGTGCTGCTCATCCACGATCTGCTCCTCGTCCATCTGTTGCCCCATGTCATGAAGGCCCAGGTTCTCCGCCAGCCCCGCTGCGTCCAGGTCGTGCGCCCGGGGCAGCAGCAGGTCCGAGCGGCGGAAGCCATCCCTGCGGGCACTCACAGCGCGGCCGTCCAGCCCGGAGAGATGGGGTTGCAGGCCGGCCCGGCGCCCGTGGTGCGAGGGCAAGCCAGCAGCCTCCTGGCTCTGGCGGCCGGGCCAGGCCTGCGGCTGACTGCCGGCGGGTGCCGGCTGGTGCAGGGGGTTGATGGCAGCGTACGCTTCTCCCGGATGCGAGCAGGGGTCTGCCGACTGGGAATAAGTCGGCGGCTGGTAGGGAGGTGGAAAGTAGGGTGGTAGCTGGTATTCGGCGACTCCGGTATGGGAGAGGGGCGGCGCGGGGCTGTAGGGATGTTGTTGCCCGTCCGAGGAGAGGTGGGGGAGGCGCTGGTTCCCATTGCTGCTCCCGTCCTGGCGATCCTGGGGAGGCGCGCCTTCGAAGCCTGGCGGCGAACCCCCGGGCGCTCCGCCGTCCGAGGCTCTCCGAAGCGCCAAGTTCGAGTCGCAGGCCCCGGAGGAAGGCACTCGGTGCAGGCCGCTGTCGCTCTCCAGCCCACTCATGTTCGCGTCGCCCAGCAAAAAAAGCAAACCAGTGTATTTTCTTCGCTCCTCTGTTTTTAGAGTTTTTCCCCCCTCATCAACTTCCTAGCAACTGACTGTATTTCTATGCCTAGTGAGGGATCACTGAAGGCTGCCTCTCCTCCTCCTGCCTTCTCAGCTAATGCACACAGTGGGCGCCAACCCTTCCTTATGGCCCTCAGGGCAGCAGCTCACACCTGTTCCTTCTGGTGATTGAAAACAGGCTCCGAGGCTCTTCCTTTGGAATCTCTCGTCTCAGGTGGTTTTCATCGTCCTGGGAACAGGTGTGCTGAGTGGAAACCTCGCTTATAAATGCACATCATTTAATTGTAAACACCTGTTGACAGAGCTGCGCCTCGGCGGAACCAGTAAGAAGTTAGGTGTTTTCTTCCTCTTTTTGTTTATTTTTAGCCTGTGTTTTAATATTTGTTGTCTGATTTCTAACTTACGAGCACAACGCTCTTCTGTGTTAATGAACGTGTCGGTGTTGCCCCACCTGAGTTTGGTGGCCTGCCCCGGCAGGGTCAGTGCTGCTGCCAACAAGCCCACCGGCTGGCCAGGGCCATGGACACCATGATTAGAATCTTCCAGTGCTACTCCTGCCAGGAAGGGGACCGATTGAAGGTCAACAAGGGGGGATGAAGATGCTCCCGCAGAGAGAGTTCACGGTCGCCCTCCCGGTGTGTCCCAGCTTCCCTGCCCCTGCGGTCCAGGCGGGCGAGGCGCACACCCAGGACAGCCTCTGTGCACACCGTCTCCTGTGACTGCCACAGACACAGCGTAATTTATTTGGAGATTGGAAACACAGGGGCGCAAACACGAGAACCTTTGTTTTCTGTGCACGTCGTCCGTGTGTGGCCTTTCCTGTATCACCTGTGGGTTTCCAAGTATTGTCAATTCTATGTGAGGCTCTCATCAATTCTCAACACCCTGGTGCAGCAGAGATGTAGCTAGTTATAGAACTAGTAACTGTAACTATAGTTACAGCTAGTTACAGTAGTTATACCTGGAGCTTTGTCCAGGTGTCTGTAAATGGATGTTGTTTTCGGGGCCAGAAATGAAGCCTGGGGTGCTTTATGTTGTGGCAGCAAAGTTTCTAATGAATGACAAATACTCGGAAAGCTTTGTCAGCCAAGCACAGCTGATAGGGATGGATGGAAAGGGTGTGTCTGGCCAGTAACCAGCTGGGTAGCAAAGTGATTCACATCTCAAGATAGCCAGGAGTTAGTGTAATAAATCTACACATGAAACCTTACAGTGCAGTGTTCGGGGCCTCCTCGAGGTTTAAAACACGTCACTCTGATGTTTATGGAGCTGCCTCAAATGGGCTTGAGCAGGATGTACTGCCCTTGCATGATGCTATTCTGTACAAACCCTGCATTAAGACTACAGTGACTGTATTTACAACAGTCTTCTTCCCACTCTCTATGGGAAAAACTTAAGTAAAAAAATTTTAACAGTAATTTTTTAGGAACTTATTTTTGGATTCCAAATAACAATTTTATTTTTATTACATTGATAGAGCAAATGGTAATTTATGTATTTTTTCTAGAACTTTTTTTATTGAGGTACCTTTGATATATAACATTATATTAGTTTTAGGTATACAACATAATGATTCAATATTTGTCTATATTGTCAAATGATCACCACAATAAGTCTAGTTACCATCTGCCACCATACATAGTTACAAACATTTTTTCCTTGTTATGAGAACTTTTAAGATCTATTGCTCTCTTAGCAACTCTCAAATATGCAACACAGTATTGTTAACTATAGTCACATGCTGTATATTAATATTGCAATTCTTCACAATACCTTTTTAGTGATTTTAGAATTCCCCAGGAATTTTTTTTTCTTCAAATTCAGTTTGGCTACTGTATTATCTAACATTTAGAATAAAAGGCTCAGTTGGTCAGACTCGCACTTTGATTTATTCAAGTGAAATTTATAATTGCTTTTGATCAAGTTGATTTTGATCAATTTAAGTTTCCAACCACTTAACGGTTGGCAGCTAACGAGAGGGCAATGGGAAATCCCGGAAGAAATGAGCTACTTCTAGAACCTCATCCGCCACTAATCAGAGGAAGGGCGGGTGCCTCACAGTCCTACCCACTCCGGGCCCTGCTCTCTGTGGGCTCCGAGCTGTACTCTCCACCCATAACTGCAGTCATTCTGTAAGTTCTGCCGTTTATGGGTGCCTCTTTCTTGGTCAGGCGTTGTGCTCAGTAAGGCTGCCCGATAAACTAGTGTATGTCCCATGCAATCTACTAAAGAAAAGTATTCATTGTTCATCAGAAGTTCATATGTAACTAAGTGTCCCGTATATTTGTTAAATATAGCAAATCTGAAGCTAAGCACATTTAAAAGTATGTTGATGTATCCCTCAAATTTGTAGGGAGATTTAATTCTCCCCATTTACATATACGAAATATTAAAAATGTTAAGGGATTTGCTTAGAGTCCCATTGTTGGTGACTGGTAGAGCCGCTCACACTATCTCTTTTTGGCTGCAATACCTTCTTTCCCTGCTCCCTGCCTGCCTCCCCGAGTCCTGGCCCTTGACCTGTGATGTCGTGTAGTGAGTGCATTTTCAGCATCAGCCGCTCGCTCTGGCTCATGATGAGCTGCTGTTTGATCTCCTGAGTGTTTAGGTCTGAGCCAGAAGTAGGTGGCCCTGGGGAAAAGTGCTAGACTCATTTAGAATCGGCGCCTGGTTCAAACCTTCCTGCAAAGAGCCCTTTGGAAACTGTCCTTAGGTGCTAAAGATGAAAATAAAAATGTAATATAGATAAAAGGAAGATGCGATTTCACTTGTCATTATGAAGCTCAAAGCCTGGGAGCTAGACATTTTCTTTTTCCTTTTTGTGCCAAAAGGACCCTCAGTTGATTGATAAGCTAATGCAAGACCTGGACTCCAATAAGGACAACGAAGTGGATTTTAATGAATTTGTGGTCAGGGTGGGCGCCCTGACAGTTGCTTGTAATGATTACTTTGTAGAACAATCGAAGAAGAAAGGAAAGTAGAGATAAGTAGCAAGCTAATCTAAAGGCAGAAATATATCCAAAGTTAATTACTTATTATTCATTTTTCCCCTTCAAAGTTATAGATACTGTAACGCAGCTGTTCTCAACCTGTGGGTCGAGACCCCTTTGGGGGTCGAACCACCCTTTCACAGGGGTCGCCTAAGACCATCGGAAAACACGTATATAATTACATATTGTTTTTGTGATTAATCACTGTGCTTTAATTATGTTCAATTTGTAACAATGAAAATACATCCTGCATATCAGATATTTACATTATGATTCATAACAGTAGCAAAATTACAGTTATGAAGTAGCAATGAAAATAATTTTATGGTTGGGGGTCACCACAACATGAAGAACTGTATTAAAGGGTCACGGCATTAGGAAGGTTGAGAACCACTGCTGTAATGCCATTTATAGATAGAATATACACATAATTAATTGCTAGTATTAGTAAAGGATGTATATCTTCATATATTGACTTTAAAGAAATATTTCAAATCTCATATGTGCTACTTGAAGTTTTCCTCTTATTAAAGCTGTTATATACATTTTTTGTTTGTCAGAGAACATAAAAAAAATGTAGCTACTTTCAAATGAGACTAGAACTTAGCAAAATTCTAAGACCGATGTTCACCATACTTAAATTATATTTTGAGCTTCTTTCCTATTAAAGAAATTAAGTGGCTTCTGATTCTGCTTCAAATGGAAGGAGCTCTAAACAGAGATTTCTCCTGTTATTTCATTTGAGATCTGTTTCTTTGTCTGGCTGACTCTTTTGTTTGTTTCTATGTATTAAGTAGAGCTGCTATATCTCCCAGGCTTAGTAGCGTGGCCCTATGCAATAGGTGTCCTGTAGGACCCAGTGGTGTAGCCTCTCGGTCACTTTAGGCGAACACCCGCTCCCCCCGCAACCCCCCACCCCGCTGTGAACTATGTGCATTCTCCTGTTGAAGTTGAGCCTTGATAGCTATTGGCATGTCAATGGGAGGGATTTATCCCCAGGCTGATCAGCTGTGAGGGCTGGCAGCAACTACAGTGGAGGATCACCGATGCAGGGGCTGACCCCACAGAGCAGGACTTCCTTCAGCAGGGCTCTGGTGCCTGCTGAGTCTGCCCCTTGAGTGTGTTGATTGCGGAGGTGGTGGGTGGTGTTTTGGTATAGTCTGAAACTGTCCACTGGGTGTGGTAGCTCTGGGGCTTCCTGGGAGGTATAGGCCAAACGTCAGTTGCGCCTGTGCCCTGCCCAGGGCCACCCAGCATGAGCTACACAGAAATCAGATAACTGCTACTTCTGCTGGGCCTTTAGAAGTTCCTGATAGAGGCCAACTGTGAACCAAGGCTGGTTGCCACTAGTGCCCACCTGGGGCCATGTAGCAAGAGGTACAGGGCATGATGCCAAAGCCAGATACTACTTGTTTGAGAGGTTTTAGGAAAGTCAACAGCATGAGACCAGACAGTCCATTTGTATGGAAAAGCTTGGGTGGGACTAAAAGTTGGATTGGGTGGGATCTCAGGGAATCACCAGGGTGGGGCGACAGTGTGTTAGCCAGGAGACTCAGATACGGCGCCTGCCTGCTGGTCTGGGGGGCTCAGCTCAGCAAAGGAACAATGGCCTTTGCCAGCACTTGGGTTTGGGAGAAAGCTGCCCCTCCAGCCCTGTCCTGAACCAGACAATTCAGTTCCTCCCCATATGTTCCTGGAGCTTTTCAAGCTGCTGCTTAGTGCTGGAGCTCAGAAGTAGTGAGTTTGAGTAAGTTCATGCACAGGCCCTTTAAGAGGAACTGCCTGGGACTCCAGCAGATCTCCATCTCAACCACAATCTCCACTGGTTTTTACAGCCAGAAGTTATGGAGACTTCTCTTCCTGGCTCTGGAACCCTGGGCTGTGGGGACTGGTGTGGGGCTCGGATCCCTCCATCTTCAGGGGGACCTCCACAGCTGAGATGTCCCTTCTGATTGTTATCCACCACAGGTGGGTGTGGGACCAGTCCTTCCCCATCTCCACCCCTCCTACCAGACTTGATGTGGATTCTTCTTTACATCCTTAGTTATAGGACTTCTACTTAGCTAGATTTCAGGCAGTTTGAATGATGGTTGGTCTGTAGTTTAGTTGCAATTTTGATACGGTTGTGGGAGGAGACAAGTACTGCATTTACCCATTCTGCCATCTTGACTGGAAGCCTCCCAACTGTTAATTTTTTTTCTTTAAATAGATTAATAGTTCTTGTTTCCCTCAATTCAATTCTTAGCAGATAGAACAGGGAGAATTTGGAGGTCAGAGCATTCAAGAGAAGAAATGCATATTCTGGGAATTACTTTTCCTGTCTCTTGAAAATTTATAAGAAAAAAATGAGAAAAAAATTAAACACATATTTCAGAGGTGTTTAGACTTTTTTCTTAGAAGAGGTCACACTACTTATGCAAGAGAAAATCTGACTCTTTCTCAGGGACCTTTAAACTTTCATTCAATTTGATCCAAAGTTTACATATTCTAAAACGGGTCACCAAATCATGCCATGTAAATCCAAAAATGTCCTCATGTTCTATGTGAGGAAGGATATTCTCAACATAGAAAATAAATGAAAAAAAACCCACAAGGTTCATTTCATGTTACTTCTAAAAATTGATCAAAAGTGAGAAAAAGCAATTTATGTGTCAAATTACATTTTAAATGTGTAAGGTTTACTAGAAAGCTCCTTTCTAGTAAAGGAGAGGTTTTCTGTTTTGTGTATATTAGGTACATACAATAAGTTTGTAAGAGGCAAGATTGATTATTTCTCTTGCTCAGAGGCACTGGCCTTTGCATTTGCTGGGGTTTAAATGAACTTTAAACAACATTTAAAGGTCATCTCTGAATTAGCACATTCTGATGTGTAACATTTTCCCAGTGTGGTTATTGGAAGACAACGCTTATAGGAGACAATAGGACAGGTCTGCTTGGGTCCCTGGATTTGGGATGTGGCTGACAATACAAATAACTAGAAACCATTAAACAAAAACCTTAATAAAAACAAAAATTTCACTCCAAGAATAGTGGGATTGAGGAAGACTTTCCAGAAGCAGAAGCTTAAAGTCATGTCTTTGATAAGGCAAAGAATGGAGGAAGAGAGAATTTGGGCAAAGTCATGGGGTATGAAGCAGCAGGGTGTGTTTGGGGAAATGCCAGTGGTTTGGGGCACCCCAAAGTGTGGGCTGTGGGAGAGCAGGACACAGGGCTGGAGATATAGACAGGACTCAAAATCAGAAAGGGTCTTCCTTGCCCTAGCCAGTTTGGCTCAGTGGATAGAGCATTGGCCTGTAGACTGAAGGGTCCGGAGTTCAATTCAGGTCAAGGGCACATGCCCAGGTTGCAGGCTCACTCCCTAGTAGGGGGCATTCAGGAGGCAGCCAATGAATTATTCTCTCTTATTATTGATGTTTCTGTCTCTCTTTCCCTCTCCCTTCTTCTCTGATATCAATAAAATATATATGTATATATATTTTAGAAAGGGTCTTCCTTGGGTGCTAATGTGAGAAATTTGAAATTTATCCTGATTGTTATGAGAAACTAATGTGGAATTTAATGCATATTTTTCTTCTAACTTAGAGCAGTTTCTAAATATCCCCCTAAATTTTTAAAATCTTTAAAGCAGTGGTTCTGAACCCTAACTTCACTTACACTCACCCAAAGTATTTTTTAAAATATATTTTTATTGATTTCAGAGAGGAAGGAAGAGGAAGAGAGAGAGAGAAACATCAACGATGAGAGAAAATCATTGATTGGCTGCCTCCTGCACGCCCTATACTGGGGATTGAGCCCACAACCAGGCATGTGCCCTTGACCAGAATTGAACCTGGGACCCTTCAGTCTGCCAGCTAACGCTCTATCCACTGAGCCAAACCAGCTAGGGCTCACCCAAGGTATTTCTAGAAATATAGATGAATAAACTCCACCCCCACAGATTCAGCTGGTTTGATGATGGGCCCAGGCATCAACATTCAAACACAGATGATTCTAAATGCAACCAGGGTTGAAAATTACTGCTTTTGTGGTGAATCATTTTTTTTTTTTTTTTGGTGCTAAGTAGTTACTGGTTTATTTTTATTTTTATTTTTTTATGCTTTAAAATATATCATCCCATTTATTTTTTTTATTCTTTTTTAAAAATATATTATAATAAGTATTACAAAGGGTATTACATATGTGTCCTCCCCCCCCCCACCCTTGACAATCCCCTGCCCTCCCTTACCCCCCAGTGTCTTATGTCCATTAGTTATGCTTATATGCATGCATACAAGTCCTTCGGTTGATCTCTTACTCCCCTCCCTTCTGCCCCCCAACCCTCTCTGGCCTTCCCACTGCAGTTTGACAATCAGTTTGAGGCAGCTCTGCCTCTGTATCTATTATTGTTCAAAAGTTTGTAATGGTCTTTATTATCCATGAATGAGTGAGATCATGTGGTATTTTTCCTTCATTGACTGGCTTATTTCACTTAGCATAATGCTCTTGTGGTGAATCATTTAATCAAATAATCCGATCAGTGTCTGGCTGAAAAGTGTCTAGAACAGCATCTATTCCAACTTTAATGTGTATTTAAATCTCCTAGACATCTACTTCTACATTAGTAGGTCTGGGCTGGGCCTGAAATTCTGCATTTCTAACAAACCCCAGGGGATGCTGATGGTGCTGATAGATATGATCTAGATGCCATGATAAAGGGAAAGAATTTGAAAAGTATGGAGGTGTCATTTTGGAAGTGAGTACCTGTAGATTAGCTCTTACTGAAGTATACTCCCTTTTGAAGAATATAAGACAACATAAGAACATTAGGCACAGGGGGGGCCAGGGAGAAGGGGAGAGAGGTGGGAGATACTAGGAAAGAACATTCCCTAGGGCCCTGGAAGGAAGGATTGCCATCCGACTGCCTCAGGTCAAAGGTCTTGGGTAAGTTATTTAACTTCTTTAAGCCTCATTTTCCTGGCATGTCTCAACTAGGGGCACTTATTGAACATTAAGATTTCCAGGCCCCAACCCAGTCCAAATGAATCAGAAGGGAGGAGGATTGGTGAGAATCTGCACTAGGTAAATGTTATGTACCCTTAAGCTGCAAAACTAGAACTCTGGTGGCTAAAAGAAGATAGCAAGG